TATTTCGTATCTCAAAGTTTCAGCAGGCTTGATTTTAAAAAAATCTGCAATGTAATCGATCCTGACTTAGCATCTCGAAATAGAAGCGTAAATGTTCAAAAGTGAGTTTAATTTATTGTAACGTTTCATAAGATAAATGAAATATTTTAAAGAATTTTCAAGTTCATTGAATTGGGAAACTCAGATTTTATGAATCAATTGGAATGGGTAATTTGATTCAGAAACACAAGTTCTTTTTAATTTTGTTTAAAAAGAAAAACTATGATTTTTGGTTTGGATAATTGTTTTCAAACTATTGATTGAAAACAACTACTTTTATAAATTAGGTTTATTTACTTTCTCAAAAGTCAAAAACATACATCTTCATTGAGTTTTTTTTAATAAATTTTTAACGAGAGTTCTGTAACGCGAGGGACAATTTCAAAAAGGAAATCTTAATTTACGGCATTTTTAACAAACTTTATTTCATCAGATGATTACAATGTTGGAAAGAAGAACCTTTTGCTTGAATTGACAAAAAAGGTGTAAAAGACATGCATGTGTTTTTCTTTTTGTCTTTAATAATTAAGTTTTTCTCTTAAATTTTTACTAGCAAATAAGAGCTATATTGTAACTGCATGCTTGCCTACTTCGTCAAAACTCAAAACAATGAATATTGGACGAAAGAAACCTGAATGCAAATATAGATCGCCAAATGATGTGCACCAATTTTGATAATAAATATAAAAAATAAATACGCTTTAGACTATTTTACCTTTGCCATAAAAAGATTTTGTTGTTTTTAAAGTTTCCTTAATAATTCGTTAAATAATTTCTAATTATTTTTGTTTTTGTTGTGTTTTTTACTCTTTCACAGAAGCACATCACTTTTTTTTTTAACAGAAACCTTCTGCGAATAGGCACTTCTTATGAACATTTACATTAACGGAATGGGTGAATAGAATGATAAGAATTTTAAAGCAAGCAGGGCTTGGCTTTCTTTTATGTGTTTTAACAGCAAAAACACTGGAGCATTGGCATCAGCTGATGCAGAAGCAAAAGCATCATTGGTGTTTCTGGAACACCGGGGAAAAAATGCTACTATCAAGCAAGAGTCTTCAGTTACGAAGAAACAAGCCTTTTCTAGAATTAAAAATGCCAGGTTGTAGTTTCATTCATAAAAGTGCCAACTAAGCTTCAGAATTATAAGGATCATATTATTTACGTGATATGTAACATGTCATGATTAAACCAGGTGTTATACAAAGCCAACAACCCTTGTTCTTGAAGAACAAAATAAGTTATCTGTGTTTTGGGCTGGCTAAGATGACTTTGGAGGATGTTTTTCAAAAGAATTGGGAAATATTTGAACTTAGAACTAGCTGATGCTAGTGACAGGTGTATGTAGAGAGGTAAACTGAGATCCTCCGTCAGGCAGGACACATCTTGCTTTGTGCAAGGTTAATTCTGGTCCTGCTTTAACAAAAAACTTGGCTATGATGATGATGCATTCTGGCAACACAATAAAAAGGCTTAGATGATAGTAATTTTATTCCTCAATTGGTTCTATCACTCCTTTATAACTGAAATGAAGGAATAGGTACATTGAGAAGAAATTTAGTAGTTATTTAAAGTCTGTATCACTAACAATGCTCTCAACCATCCTGATTCCTTGATGTATAAAGATGAACAAAATGATCTTTTGTTTCTGCTACCAAACACATCATCATACATTTGCTTTACTTTTGTCAAGGTTTCTATTGTGTTTTCTTAGTGTTAACCAAGATTGCATTCTGTTCAACAGTTTCACATTTACAGAATCAATTGAGCTTATTGTAAAGTCTGTTAATGCCTTGAAGCCTGAAATGGTTATGTCTGCTGGAAGGCATTATGGAACAAGGAAATCAACAACTTCAGGGACATTCCTACAATCAGTAATGAAGTGAAGATTTTTACAGGTTGCCAAAGACGTTGGTGCAGAAGATTTCTCTGGCATACTCAAGGAAGACACCAGACAACACATTGAAAAGCAGAGGAATCATTACTGAAAAAGACCTGATAAAATTGTTTACGGAATATGAAGAAGTGAAGTGCCCTCCATCACTGTAGACAATGGATAAATTCTCATCAGTTTTTCACTATGTCCAATTTTGAAGGATATGATCAAGAAGTATAATCCTTTGATGGAACAAATCTTATATATCACCCATCACATCTGATCTCTTGCAACTATTATTTAATGAAACCAAAGAAATGGCTTTCTATAGCTGTTTGTTATTTTTTTAAATCCCCATAAACAAATTTTACTTTGTTGAAGAGAAAATCACTTATTGTTTTTAAACTTAAGTAACATCCATCATATTTTGTTACAAAATTTATTGTTGGTTAAAATATGTTTTGGCAAATTGTATAATTAATATTACAATAAATTTTTAATTTTCTAAAAAACAAAAACAAATATTTGGTCATTTTTTAATTTACTTTGAGTTTTTTCTTTATAATCTTTGTGATAATAGTTATTTGGAATTGAACCTTGGGTTGCTTGACCTTCAGTTGCCATTGAGCTATACCTAAAGCTATTTATACTATGTGGGTAGTATCAGTGGCCACTGGGAAAACATCTTCATTGCCCACATTTGAAATTGGTTTAATTTATCTGTAAATATTTCAGATACTACATTTCTGTTATAACTTTTGAGCAAAACCTACAAGTAGTCAACCATGATGACTTCTTGGGAAGCTCCGTGGCCAAGTCAGTTAAGGCACATCAGATCTAATGATGGTTTTCCTTTGCCCAGAGGGATGCAGGTTCAAATCCTGCCAGAAAGCACATTTTTTTCTTTAATAAGATTTGAATGTTCAGGCTGGTAGACAAAAATAATGTTTAATAAATAAATGGAGCATCTACTCAAATATGAGTACCTATTAATTTAATATGTATGATTGTTTTGGATGACTTGCAAATGTAATTGTGGCCACAACCTAAAATTAAATATTGAACTTTGTGGATTGTGCAAGGAAAAATATTTTAATTTTATCCTAAAGGCTATTCTAGTTAATTAAAAACTTTATCATTTAGAAGTTTGGCATGTATAGTGAAAGAGCTGAAGTTCTATCTTAGATGTCAGAGTGAATAAGCTTTTAATTTTTTTTTTAATCATATCACCACAAGCAAGGTAATAAAGCCACTAAAATACAAGGTTAGAATATGAGTAAAAAATATTAAGGTGTGAGGACCATAAAAGAACAGGAATTAAGACAAAAGATAATGATTGATATTACATTTAAATTTTTGAAGATCAAAGTTGACTAGGAAGCAAGAAGAGAGTTCTACAAGTGAGAAGAGCAATAGAAGAAACTGTTAGCATAAAACTTACGGTTCCATCTATAGTCATTTCAACTGTAAAAGGATGAGACCTTGCTGCTAATCTAATACTGCACTTAAATTCATAAAGTCTACATACCACAGAGGAAAGTTCAATTATGAAAATATTCATAGAATAGACCGAGGGATGCTACATTACAGTGGTGGGAAAGTGACTGAAGCTGAGATGCCAGGTCAGAACCAATAACATTGCAGATTCTTCTTTGGATTTTATCAAGAATCTCTAAATATATAGCAGGAGCACCAGACCAGACGTGTTAGCAGTCAAAGCAAGGATGAATGGTAGATTTACAAATATGTGAGAAAAATTGTGTAGCATGATACATTGTACTAACTTTCCAAGCAATTGACTCAGTATAGTCTTTCCACTTCATGTCAGCAGAAAATGTTAGTTCAAGAAGGTGCAATGAGTTGTTCTTTTGGAGGTTAGCATCAGCCATGCTAATGGAAAGCAGAAAAGGTTCTCTCAGATGGTTAAAAAAAAAAGGACACAGTTTCATTTTGGAGGTGTTTAAATTAAGAAACCATTCCTTACCCCAGTTAACAATTGATTGTAGGTCATTTTGAGATCAGCTGCGAATTACTATTAAAACAGGAGTAAATAGTTGTTTGAGTTGAAAACTGAAGACAACAGGAAGGTCGTTAATGAAAATTAGGAACAATGTAGGTTCAAGGATAGAGCTATGGGTAACACCTGCAATAATGCAAAAAGATCTCGAAGATTGGCCATTCTAGAAAACACTCATTTCACAATTTGTTTCAAAAGACTGAATCAGTTCTAAAATTTGTCCAGAAATACTATTATAGAGTGGTGGGATCTTAGACTTTTAGCTTTAAGCCAGCTGGACATTTAATAGTTTATCACAAGACCAGAGGGATGTAAATTCAAATCTCACCAGGGGGTTTATCCTTTAATTTAAAATCTATAGTTTACTTCACACAAATGCCTCTTGAATCTCTTCTCCCTGAAACTATAGTTTAAATAACATAATAGACTGGACTCTATAGCCTTGGATGATAACCAGTTAGGAAAACTTTGAATTCCAAACCATAGAGAAGTCAATAAGAGACAAATTAATTTTCCCAAGAAGCATGGCACATGTAAATAAAAAAAAATTCTGTGGAGAGCTATGAAATCCATGTTCTGAAAGGACATGACATTAAAAGAAAAAACTGTCGACTTGCTGCTGTTTAAGTAAATTTCTGATAAAAAATAAAAAAAAAAAAAACTGATAATGATTGAAATTACTTTTGTTGTTATTTTTATATCCATTTATTGAAAGAATTTCTCTTTGAAACTGTATAAAAATAAAAAGACCTAAAAAAAAACCAAGTTGCCTATAGGGGTTGAACCTGAGTACTTTTTTCCTGTCAGTAAATGTACCCTGTCCAGAGGATACTTATTTATTTACCCTTGGCTGCTTTTCTTGTGGCTACTCAATAAGTATTGATCAAGTTGACTGTTGAATAACTGCGATGACCTAATAACTTGACCATGAGCCTCTGCCCGAGGTGAGTTGTTTATCGTCTTTATATGCAAAGTCAGCCAATCCACGTGAACGATGACGTAATCAGCACTGAGTGTACAGAAACTTGTGACATAGTTGGCATATTTACACGTTCTCCACTGCTGGAAATGGAAGAGGAACAGCTTCTCGAGGGAAACATCCAAGTACCTCACAAAGAAAATCATTTAAACAAAACCTCGTAAGAAAGAAATTCTTTTCTCTTTGTCATTTTCATTGTAAACAGCACTAAATAATCTCGAAGAAAGATCAACCATATTTTAAAAAAAAAAAAAAAGACACTAAAAATCTCTTCTTATTCATAAAAAATAAGTCGTAATTAACTGATTTTTGTTGGTGTTCAAATGTGTTTGGATTTCTTAATGATTATAATTTTCTTTATTGATTTCAGAACTTTGTCGTAAAAGACTTTCTAAAACGAAAAAGTTATTAATAATTGAAGAAAATATCTACTTAATTACGAGTTTTTTTTTTTAAGATCAATCAGTTTAAAAAATAATTAACATCTTCTGAATTTAAAATCACCTTAGTTAAAAAGTGTGATTGGAAATTGATTCAAAAACGAAGAAATAGAATATCTTTTTTATTTTATTTCAATTTACAAAGGACAACTCAAAAAAGAAATTACTTCTCGTTTCATTTGATTTTTAAAAATCTTTTGTTTCTCTTAAATTATTATTAATTCGAACTTGACCCAAACACAGAATCACGGACAGTTCGTTTTTTAAAATTAATTCAGTTCTAAATATAAAAGTAAATGAAAACATTTTTCTCGCCTGAGAACACAATTTGTTATTTTTGAATTAATGGTTTCTTTTTTTTTTTCCTGTCATTTTTTAAATTTTAACATTTTTCTCTATGACTGCAGGCAGTTCTCTATTTCTGTTCTCAAATAAGCAATTTAAAAAAATTAAAAAAAAGTAAAACTAAAAAATACCTTTTTTTTTCCCCTCTTTCTTTACTTTTATTTACCTAAAAAAAAGAACATTGTCTATGGGTGTAAATTTCTGAATTTTGTTTTATTGTCTATTTTATTTTTTAATAATTATTTTTAATTTAGAAATTAAAATATCATATGCAAATAAATTTGAATTTTTGGCCGTTTCTAATTTTGGATTGTTGATTTTCACTAACTAAACACTGATTTACCTCCCTTATTTTACCTAACCTCATATTACAATTTTACGAATGGAGTATAAATGTCATTATATCCGACAATTATTTTAATTTATATTCTGTTTATACGTTATTTTTATAGATACAAATATTTAATAAATGCTATTTATAATAAACAGTATTAACATGTATATTTCTCAGATATTCAGGTTTGAGAAATTTCATTAAAAAAAATGTGTCCTCTGACAGGAATCGAACCTGTATCCTACACGGGACCGTCATTCTGATGTGCTATACTAATTTAACTACAGAGGAAGCGTCTGGTTAGCAAAGTCCATTTACTGTTTTTAAACAACAAATTTCTCATGATTTTTCTCAAACGATCATATCTGCTCAAAGCGTACTTTAACATAAACAAAATGACATGAAGAAATGGACTAAGTCCGACAATTATTTTTTCTGTTTAAATTTATAAAGCAAATGTAGTTTACTTTACAGGTTTATGCTTTTACTGTGGACCTGTCTTGAATGTAGTGATGTGTATGATGATGTTGGTAAAGATGCTTTCGATACACCGTCATTTTATTAGTGCTCTTCAAGTATTGTGTAGTCTCAAGCATATTTTTTATTTTTATTCTATTCTTAATAGACACAAAAATACTTGATTGTAAAAATGAAAAGAAAAAAATGTATTTTGTTCCTTAAGATCTCAAACATGGTCACAGCTGTTTTCTTTGCATAAAGACAGAAATAAAATATTTTTGTTTTTTATTTGCTTGTTTGTTTATTTCTAAATTGACAAAATTTTATTAATGCTGGTTTTATTTCTGTTTCTTTTTTAGTTTATAATTTTTCGGCACTACTTACTGGTTTGCTTGTAAAAACTAAGGAAATAATTTTTTGTCTATTAGCTTTTTTTTTTTTTTTTTTTTTTTTTTTTAGTGGGGGAGGGTCTTGTTCATAATATCGATACAGTAAAAAAATTATTGGAATTTAATTTGATAATTGTGAAATTTGAAACAGTGTATTTTTAGGTTTTTTTTTTTGAAGCACAATTATAGATCTACTCCATTATGGTGATATGACTGAATACAGTGGTTTAATTTACCTGAGAGTGTGCTCTTCAAGGTTAATTAAAAAAACATTCAATTTGAAGGGCCTAAGGTGATTCAAACAGATGAATTTCTCATAGAGGTCATTATGTCCAAGAAAAAGACACCACCATAAAGCTTAGTTACCTGAAACAGATATTTCTCCTCAAAAAAAGATAAAACCAGGAAACAAACCATTCTGAGAGCTGGAAGGAATATAACAGTATTAGCCAAATACAAGTTGACCCGTCTTATATTCACTACGAAGTGAATCAGAAACTTAGTTTATGTCAGCTTGTGTAGTTGGGTCAACAAAGTTCAAATGCATGCATAGTGTGCATTCCTTTGTTACCATTCTATTTGGATGGGTTAACTGTGCTGTATGCCTTATTGCATCATCTACAATGATGACTTAACAATATCTTGGACCATGTCACCAAAATAAAATTATTAGCAAATATGAACCAGGTTATATTTTTGGAAAAATCAAAAATCACAAACTTGACACTAAAACAAATAATTTCATAAATTCCTACATCAATTTACCATTTATCCAAAACTTGAATTATGAAAAGATATTTACCATCTAAAATATATCATAAATTCCATATATGGCTTTATACAAATACTTAAAACCTGTAAATCTAATAACGATAACAGCATCTTACTTGAAAATATAACTGATAAATGAGATATAATAATATTTCTAAATACTCATCATTTGCACCTCCAAAAATAAAAGCAATTTTAAGAAACTGTTATCTTATATGACACAAGTTCCTTTTTACTATAGGCAATATATTTATACAAACCTGATAAGCTCTGCTAATCAATTACATTCATTTACGTGCTAATACCCTTGGGAAAGGTATAAATCCTCTTCTCCTCCCCCCCCAGCTATGGGTAAATAGCAGGACAGACCAGGTTCTATAACCTTGCATGGCAACTGGTCTACTGCAGAAAGAAATGGCAACCTACTGTGGGAAAAAAAATCTGCCTCGTCAGTCATATATCAAAAGATACATGATCCTGGCACATAACTGACTGATAAAATCATGCATGGCACATAAATGACTGATAAAATCACTATGAATTCACCTATTTCTGCAACAATACCAATAATTTCCACCTGCTATGTTGATAATATTTATATAAAGTTAAAAATTGAAGAGAAATCTTTGAAAATAATTAAGTCCTTAAATTCACATATGAACTTGATATCAATAATGTTCCCTTTTTAGATTAATTGATTCAAACAAAGATTTCTGCACACACGAACCTATGTTTACTTAACTATAATAGTGAATGTCCACAGTGATACAAAACAGCCATCATGAATAATTTAATTTAGCATACCTAATATCCTCTTAACATATTACTTTATAAAAAAATAAAAAAAATATAAAACGAGTCAACAATAATTTCCCAAACCATAAAATAGCTAGATAAATTAAGCCCACCCTTAGAAAAAAATAAGTTAAATAATAAACAATATAAAAAAAAACATTATTCTATTGAAACAAATTGCCTAATAATTACAAACTGGAAGAAAAAATATAGAAGACATATATTGATACACACCACTTAAAAAGACAAAATTACATCCTATAAAAAAGTAAAAACAATATCATGATTAATAACCCAATAACAACAAAATCAAAACTTAAACAAGTTACTATTGTTTTTTGGAGTTTTTTGTCCACTTTGATAATGTTTCTCTAATAATAATTCAAATAATTTATACATTGATTACACAATTGCTATATATACACTAACTTGCTATTTATCTGATATTAGCTCTATTAACTCACATATCACCAACCAACACAATGAAAAAATGTAAAATTCATTAAATACTTGTACATAATATAGAAATTTTTATATGTAAATTTAAAAAATAACTACAAATACAAAAAGCATTAACTATAAAAACAACTAATAAAATTCAAATCAATTTAGGAACAAATGTATTAACTGTTACACTGCAACTATGTAAACAAAAGCCTCTGTATAGTTTTTGTTATCTGACCACAATCATGGCTCTCCACAGCATAACAGTTAAATATATTTAATAAATAAAAAAAAAACAACACAAATTACCACATGATGGCATGAGACTGAAACTAACACCTAAAACTGTTTGTGTGTGTGTGTGTATATATATATATATATATATATATATATATATATATATATATGCATGTTTCATTAAAAACAACAGACAAGGTACTACGGTTGAGCTTTTTATTTAATTTTTCTTGTGTTCTGACGAGAGCTTTCTTTTCTGGACAAAGGGTGTGTAAGAACTGTCCGAATGTTCTATATTTCCGAGCACTTTCGGCTATACCTTTAGCCATTATCAAGGATGATTCGATTATCAGCTTAGTAGAGTGCGCTCAGAAATATAGAACATTCGGACAGTTCCTACACACCCTTTGTCCAGAAAAAAAAAAGTTCTTGTCAGAACACAAGAAAAATTAAATAAAAAGCTCAACCATAGTAATTTTTGTCTGTCATTTTTAATGAAACGTGCATAAAGGAAGGATTGCTGCCTAAATATAAACTAATATATATATATATATATATATATATATAACTTTTAAAAGCCATAAGAACTTAGAATTCAGTCAAGTTTTGTACTATTTTGGTCCATATATGAAGCAGCTATTCAGAAAGGGGGGAAAAAAGTTGATAAATATTTAACAAACACCCTTTCTGGATTTTAAATATAACTTGAATATAAAGAAAAAGATTGCAATAAAAACTCGGCATCTGATTTTGGTAAGAAATATATTTGTCATGCAGCTATGTTTTTTTTTTTTTTTTTTTTTATATACATTCCCTTTACATAACTTCATACTTTTCCAGTCAACATTTCCTTCAAAAGGAATCGTTTAATTCAATAATGTGAACTTTTTTTTTTTTTTTTAAATAACTGACTATAAATAAACTTGTGCAACTTGTCTATATTCACAACCTGTCCTGCAATAATGAAATAAATACAATGTGTGTATTAATATCTATGAAATACTGGTTTGAACAATTTTTAATTTTATTAAAGAAAAGCATTTTGTATCTTTTTGGAACAAGACAGTCTGAACCTGCTGCTAGATTTTACATTGGACATATTTTTAATTGAATTTTACAAAGATATTCCATCCAGATCTACCAGAGAAACACAACAATGAAAGTAAAAAGCAGTTTGTTTTGTATGCATAACTGTTTTCATGTTACTTATATTTTATCTGTTTCAGATCCACAATGGCTGTCACTTTATCTAGTATAGCAGCTCGAGAATGGCTACAGAAGAGGAGAGAAGGCATCAAACCATGGGCAGAATTCATCAATATGTCAAAATTCCAGATGCCAAAAAATTTAGCCAAAGTTCCCAAACATGCCATGAAAAATATTGAAGAGTTTCAAAGCAACTATCTTTTTGTTTTCATAGGCTTGGTCATTTTTTGCATGTAAGTACATACATTTAAATATAATGGTAATTATATTTTTTTCATAATATAGTCTTAATAACAGCAATAAACTACTGTGACACTTAGCATTCACTTAGGCTAAAAGAATTAATTCAGTTTACTTCAATTAATTCTAGTGACTGTATATGAAGAAAATTAGTACAGATATTGTGTGAAGATAAAACTATTCATTACCGTCTTGTGTAAAATAACATTCATCTATACTTTCATTGCTTTATTGAGAGTCATAATATTTTCAAGAAGTTTTATAGTTTGGCACACTCTAAATGACTCGCATAATTGTATCTATACTTTAAAAGAGTGCTCATAGCATATGTACAGCAGATATTGCTTGTCTGAGGCTGACTAAGTGGCGAGTCAGCAAGGACCAACTAAAAAGTAATTTTCATTTATTCATGCTAGCCTAATTGCTACATATTTTTTAACCATTTCACCTCAAGCAAAACAATAAAAACACTCAGACACAAGAGGTTACTGAGTGAGAGATAATGAGAAAAAAAACATTATTAAGGTATAGCGAAGAATGCGTCGACTTACCTCGTCAAACCAAGCGACAGCGTGTTGCATGTATTCTACAACGAAAAATATGGCGAAAAAGAAAATTACTTGCCAAACAAAAGGGCACGTATTCCACATGACATGCTGAAGATGGAATATTTAAATTAAAAAAAACAAGTCTGTCGCAGGAGTCGCTATAAAAGTATTTTGATATGCAAATTACTGAACATCCTCTCCCAGCTGTCGACGAATAGAAAAAATGCTTGGCTGATAAAAGCAGTTGGTGTTCTTGAATCAGGGAGCAAAATTTGAATATTTTGGCTACCGCGTTTGTTGGAGAATGAATTATTTTACTGACTGGTTACGTGCATTGTGATTTGTGAAATAGTGCTTGCGAATTTAGTTTTCGGTATTTTCTTTCTGTCCCCGATGTTCGAGTCTGAACTTAGTGATTTATTCTCTGTGACATGGAAATAATCTGCGACAAACATTTCCTTTGTAATCCCAGATCACTTACATAAGGAAAGAGGAGGATAAAACAACAAAAATTAAGAAGATGGAAGATAATTAACATTGCATTTAAATTTTTGAATATTAAAGTTGATTGGAAAACAAGGAGCTGGAAGAGAGTTCCACAAATGAAAGGTGTAAAAGAAGAAACAGTTACACCTAACCATTTCAACTGTAAAATGATGAGACCTTGCCATGATAAAGATTTGGTTCAGTAATCATTCTCCAGTTAAGCAGTAATCAAATTAACAGGAATCACACTGTATACTTGGGCAAGTCAATTTTGGAACTGTGGTATTTCACTCAATTTGAAAGTTGGGTTTTCACATGATAAATGATACAAATATTTTTTCCAAATTTTTACTGTTTTTTGAGGAAACGAGTTTAAAGATTAAGTTTAGATTCAAAATTGTATCATTGGAATTTCATTCTGGTAATCAATGAAAGCTTTATAGCACAGCCTTATAAAATTTATAATTTATTGAAGCTTTACAAATTTTATATGGACAAGATGCATTGTACAAGCATATTATTACTAAATCATTGTGCCATCAAATAAGACCCTCATTTACTTCAAAGGGAAATTATACTGAACAATTTAGCTATATTATTATGTAATATGTTATACAGTACAGTAGTTTAGTGTGATTTTTCAATAAACAATGCAAATTTAAAACATCTTATTTGTGCCCAGTAATATTATGGTATTGTATACACTTTTATTTATTTTTTGTTTTTATTATGATCTGAGAAATCTTATTCATTGAGTAGTATTTTTGTAATCTTTTACAATTTTTTAGTTTTTACTTATCAAATACAGTAAAAAAAAAAAAAAAAAATTACGTATTTTGCTTGTGCTAATTCATAATTAGAATTCTGGTTTGAATATATTTTCCATTCAACTAATACAAAAGATATCAACCTTATTTAAATTTATTCTTGAAATAGTAAAATTTTGAAGTTTGAAGACAGTTTGTAAACGGAAATTAGGTATCTATACATTTTTTTTTTTAAAACAATCTCTAAAAATAAATGCTCAAAATTGGTAACGGTTATGAATCTAATTTTTTAGTGTTAGTACTTATCACATCAAATCTCAGCTTTCACATCAAGTGCAATGTTGATTTTCTAAAAATGAGTGAAAAATCAACCTGCTCTACTGGATACATGTATATGTGAGTTCAATCCCTAGATTAGGTAGTAAAACAATATACACTGGTTCAATAAGAATGAACAAGAACTGGCATCACAGTGACAAAATAATATAATCAACTGATGTTCTATCAGCTAAACAATGGACACCTGAAGATGGCCAGAAGATAATTAGCCGAAACATTGTCTCTATAAAAACATTTGTAATAATAAGGAATGAAAACAATAGTTTAAATAAATTATGACAATTCCTGATCCCAAAAATGAAATACAAAATCAGGAATCTACTGTGTTGGTGATTGTCAATGATTAGGCAGTTTTCAATATTTTCATTAATTTTTATTTTTTTATATTTAAATTCACCTCTGATCAAAAATAAATTTCAAACAACTTTTAAATAAAAGTTAAATGATGCTGCAGTTAGTGTAACAGATATCAGTTCTGTAACATTGCTTCTCTGTGCTTTTTCTATAAATATTTTCATGGTAATTGTTCAGATGAACTTTCCTCTTTGGTGTCTAGACTTTATGAATTTAAGTGCAGTACTAGATTAGCAGTTGGGCTTCATTATTTCACAGTTGATAATATGGTACAATAAGTGCTATGCTAATGGTTTCTTCTCTTGCACTTCTGACTAGTGAAATTCTTTCCCTGCTTTTTGCTTTCCAGTCAACTTTGATCTTCAAAAATTTAAATACAATGTCACTCGTCTTATGAATCCTTTTCTTTTATTGACTTCTCTCCTTAATGTTTTTTCTTTTTTTCTTAGATTCTTTCATTGTCAGTAACCTCTTGCATCTTTGTGGCTTTATTGCCTTGCTAGGGGGAAATGATTAAAGACAAAAATCATTAATACCTGCAAAAGTAAAACATTCACATGTTGTATTTTATATGCTAACCAATTTTACATTAGTTCATAATTGTGCTAGAAAATTTATATCTAATGTCTAATATGCAAAATCAATTGTCATTAAAATTTAAATAATTATTTATTTTGGTAGGTAGATTCTTTATGAATGTTCAATGATTTGTGTTTCTGTCTGAATTTCTATGGTGAATACAGTGATTTGCTTGAACTGTTGTCCTCATCTTGGTTATTATAGTTACATTTCAGCCAATGCATACTCAAATTTTCTTCAGTGGTATTCAGTAACATCACTGGAGCTTCAAACAAAACATTATATTCCATCTATAGATGCAGGCTGTTTTCATTCTGCTGTAGAATCTCTTCTGATTCGATTTTTCCTTGTGATACTGCTTCTGCTCATTCTACCAAATCATACTATATAGAATTTGAATTCAGAATCATCAAGTAAAATGGTATACATGTAAATCTATATAATCTGAGGCAAATTATAAATATAACCTTGATACAATTCAGTTCAGTGGAACAAGCAGAAGTAGCATCACAGGGAAAATCAAGAACTAGTATGAATTATTGCCCCTTACATGGACAGTGGAAGCGGAATTCTATCAATAAATACCGTCTACCGGAAAGGATTCTGTTCAAAATATCCAAAAGGTTATCGAATATGATTTGCCTGCAAAAAGCTGGACAGTGCAATAGACGAAACGTAGTTTTTGTCTTCTATGTCTATTTTGTTCAACTTGCTAGTCTAGTTATTGGCCGTTTTATGTATGTTGTGATCGTGAATCATCTTTCTCTTTGGAGACAACAAAAGTCAAAAACTCTTAATTCCAAGCAAGTCGATTGAACTTCTTTATGTTGCCTTTGTTGGTACTGAATGTTTTGAGATTTTTTTTTTTCTTTCATATGTCATATTATTTGAGAATGCGAGTTATGGCTCTCCACAACTTCCTTGTTTTTGTTACTCTTAGTAACTTTTGTTCCTTTACTTTTCTACTACTTTGTTTTTGTGATTCATGTTCTGCTATCCATTCATTCAAACATGTCAGATAGGTTAATTACTGTTTCTCTCTGCTTTTCTTGTATTCAGTATACCCTGTGAGTGTTAAATTTGCTAAGTCTTTCTTTGTCTCCCATAAATTTAATCTTTTTCTTTCTGATTGTTGTTTCATTGTAGTCCCTATTCTCCTTAAAAATTTCATGACATTCTCAACATTTGTCAGTAGAATCACTTGTCACTTCAAGTCTCTTTGTATATGATTGTCCACATTTACTGCTATATAGAAAATTAGATAATATATAGCAGTTCAGGACTCTTTTCTCTGTTTCTAAGGGCATCTTCCTTTAATACTTTGCTTAGTTTCAGAAATATATATTTCACTATTTCTATGTGCATTCAGATTCTTGTGTTACTCTTGCCATTGTTTATTTATTTATTTTTTTTTTTTTTTTCAATAACCAGAGTGGATTTTTCTTTTAACCTGATTGATTTTTAACATTCCTAATATGTAGCTCACTTGAAAATACATGTGTGTGTGTATCTCTAAAATGAAAACCTTGCTAGATCATCAAAATGGAGAATTTTCAGATTAATATGAAAAGCTGAATAACATTATTGAGAATAAGTTTATCCAGTATAAGTAGTAGTTGTAGTAGTTCAACGCCAGTTGAAAGCATAGTTCACAACCCCATGCCACAATTAATTATAAAGTCCGTTTTCAATAGGCACCTTACCTGGATTATGTATGGTTTTAAATTCAGTTGTCCTCCTAGAGACTGGTTACCAACTATAGGATAGAATGTAAATGAACTGTAGATGGGTATGAGGATGGATGAATTTTTTTTTAATTAATTTTAGGAGAGATTGATTTTTTTTTTTTTTTTTTTTCTCCCCCAGTTTGACTTCCCCACTGCTTTTGATAGCAATGGCTGCCTGTTTTGGTGCTTGTTACATAATCAGCCTTCGTAATCAAGAGAAGAAAATGATTATCATGGGTAAGTAAAACGGTTTATTGAAATCATTCAAAACTTATGTTTATAGGTTCTCACAAACATCAAATTTGATTGGGTGGATATCAACCATTTCCCCTATGAGTGTACACTATTACAAATGTTTGTTTTTCTTCAGTAAAAAAGAATAGATGAACTTGAAAATTCTATAAAATATTCATGAAATTTTACATTGAAAATACTTTAGATCTTATTGAAAGTTAACGTTATGCTATGAAATGTATTTTATACAAATAAAACCTTTTCTAGTAGATAAACTTTTAAAACAGTATGACAGCATTTCTGAAAAACAGACTTGTAAATGATCAATATTTGATTGTCAATCAAAATGTGTAATTCCATTAATATTCTGAAATACAAAGTCAGCAACATTTTTGTTGGTCAAATGTTATCTGCAAACATGTCATGCTCGTCTGTATCCATAAAAGTGAATTTATATGAGTGAAGCTGATAAGACAAAGTAGAAAATTTTATTAATGACTTGTTTTGCCAGAGAAGCATATGCTCTCTTTAGCTTCCTTAGGTTAAAATGAAAGAAAGACAAAACTGTGTGAGAAAAATGCTTTGGGACCACTGAAGATAAGTGAGTATCATAAATCAAATTAATTACCCTAGTTTATTACCTCCTAATGACACTTAGTGTCTGTCTGTCTGTCTGTCTGGCTGTGTGTTTGTTTTATCTATATCTGAGCAGTTTGGTTTTGTGGGATTTTAAATCAGGGATTTTTTTTTTGTTGTATATACACACACACACCATAGAGCCTGTTTTTTTTTTTTTTTTTTTTTGAAATTTATACTTGTACACATACATACAACTGTTTCTTATATATTTGTACGCTAGAGTAATTAATTTGATTTATGATACTATATTTTAGACAAATAAAAGAGCATTAAATCAGTATTTATTTGTCTACTTTTGTAGGACGTGAATTGAGTTTGGGTCAACAATATGCTGGTGTTGGTGCCATGTCTTTTCCATTGTTTTGGCTGGCTGGGGCAGGATCAGCATTCTTTTGGGTAATTGGTAAGTTATTCTTTCTACCTGCATTTTGCTTTTTTAACAATATTCATTAAAAACATATCAACCAACAAAATGCAATATGTCTCCCTGCTTTATGATGCCAAGCTATTTCTGTATAAAACGTATATTCTCCAAACATATTGACTGTTGTCACAAGTTACCTTACTATCCACAATAGTTTGTATCTATTGTATATTTGCAATGCTTTCCATGTTCCTACCACCTTCAGAGCATATCATATGTTGAGATGGAGGGTAAAAGAAAAGAATGGAGTAATATAAATAATGCAAATACTTGCAAATTGCTGCAATTCATATTTAGCCACAGACAATTTTGTTCTTTCCACACAGCATTGTAAAATACAGGTACACAATCTCTTATTCAAAATTCTTTAAACCAAGTATTTTTACATTTTTTTAAAAATCCTTTTCTTTTACTAATAAAAATTCTGCCAGTAATTTTATGGACTATTTTATCTTGTTTCATTTACTACTACTGAATAAATAAAACAATACATTAATTATAATCTTAATATTAGATGATAATCTTTGCATGATTCACTGCAGAGGTATTTCTATTTGCTGACAATTGACTTAATTGTTTATCTTATATATTTTACCTGTATTGCCATTCTGCAATTCAACTAATTCTGATCCCAAACATTTGAATAAAAAATTGGGCACCTGTATGAAGTCAAAGAATAGGAGTCTTTTTCATGATTGCCATTTTTTTTTTTTTTTTATGAAGTTCTTTGATGTTCTTCATAATGCGTTGTTCTATCTTTTGTATTGTTTTTTTTGTTTTTTTTTTTTTTTTTTTTTTTTTTTTTAAACAATATTATAAATAGTTAAGACACTGCTAGGAGTGATTGGTGAATTATTTTCTTAATAAAATATATGAATGATTTCATACAATTCAATTTCTATGGGTTCAAACTGTGCAGCATATCTTGATGTGTGCAGGCATAAACATACAAGACAGAAAAAAAAGAACTTAATGTTTTTCAAGACCGATTAGTTACAAACTTGTAACATTGACATGCAAATATCTGAATTACCTTTTCATATTATTTTTATTCATATATATAAACAACAATCCATAGGTTCAACTAATAAAAAAGAATGAAAAAAATGTGATGTCAATCAGTTAATAGATCAACATACCTTAATCCCATAAATGTAATTCTTATTAGTGATGCATTTCATTCTAAAAAGGAAATTTTTCAGGTTGATAAATGCTTATTTGATGAAATCAATCCTATATCAAAAGTTGGGGGAGAAATATAACAAGCATTAGCTTAAAATTTACATCAAAACATGAAAGATAATGATACACTCAGCCTTTAAATTTTGACATCTGATATATTTAGATGTAAACCTTAGTCTTTCATTCAACTTTTTATCATTTTTATTGTTTTTAATTATCCCACATTGTATTTTGTTGGTAAAGGAGATATGTTGCATAACCTTGGATGTAAATTTCCCATAGAGGATTCCTAAATTAGGACACTTTCAATATACTTTTGTTTTAAATTTCCATATCTTTTAATCAGAACCACATTAAGTTGAAATTATTACACCTATTACAATGAACAATTAATGCATTGAGTATATTGTTTTGTAATAGACATGCAATCCGTTTATTTCTTTCTTGCTTTGCCATGACTCTAACAAAGCTGTACAAGTCTAAAGAAACGTTTTGGAATGTTTGTAATGAATCTTGAATTTCTAATAAGTGTACACTAAAATGAGATCTTCGCCAGAGGAAGAGTATTTGCTTGTTAATTAAAAATTCATCTATTCAAATGCTCCTTTTTAAATGAATTTTATGCAATTCTCTAAAACTGCATATTAAAACATGGTTTTCTCTACTGTTTTTTTTTTTTTTTCCTTTTTTTTTTTTTTTCTTCTTTTTTTCATAGCTAATTGTATATATTTAATCTTTCTAGGGGCTTCCTTTTTCGTGATTGGTCTACACGCCATTATGTACAAACGACCCGATGAGGGAGAAGAGTTTGACCTTCAGATGGAGACTGTCTAATTTCACCAGAATTTCTGCCCATCTTCACACATCCCTGGGGTGATATACCCTTAAAACTTTGTACTTAGAGATTCTACAATTTAGTAGCATCTGGCATCAAGTTATGGGGATTATCTCACTATTTTGTCCATACAATACAACATTTCATATTTAAAAACAAAATGTTGTGTAATAGATTTATATTTTCTGCATAATGCAACTTAACTGGACTCCATTTTCAAGCTCAGTATTGGCTTTGTATAAATAAAATTCTGTAAATATTTTTGGTTCCTCTTGCATTGATAATACAGTTGGTTCCATATTTTATCTTTGTTGAGAGTTATTAACAGGCAACCCTAAATACTAGGTCTTGTTGGATTGGAAAGCAAAATTATTATTATTACCACATATGCATGTCATGAAGCCCCTTTTTAATTTAGGGCTTCGATTTTAGGGGATTAAGCATGAATTATGCAATAAGAAACTCAATAAGATTTGGTTCAGTTTTCATGGTGACTGTTTAAACATTCTTGTTTTTACAGATTTTACTGATTTTTGTGGGTGTGCCTGAGTTTCATTAATAAGTAACTAACCAGAAAGACTTGAGCTAAAGCTAATCTTGGAAAAATATGAAAATCTCAAATTTTGTTATAAAAAAAAAAAAAAATATCTTAAAATATTGATTGGCTTATTTAAAAGATCCTCTTATTATTGGTTCCAAAATTTATTGTAACTTAAAAAGTGGGAGACGAAAAACAAGCTTTGACACTCTAAAGAATGTTGTCGGAACTTTCAATTTGATGGCAATTATTATTTGTTGGGTTATAACTGAAATGAATGCGTTTTTTTTTTTTTTTTTTTTTTTTTTAAGCTGTTGATAAATGAGTGCTTTTGTCAATAATATACTGAAGAAGAATTTTCTAAATATTCATCTTTTTACAGCAATATATCATTCATTTTGTCCAGGTATTGTAACCTCAACTGATGTTGCAATGTTAGGAAATTGAAGTTGTTTCCTACTTAATGAAATAAAAGAAACACAATCAAATATTAAAAAAATGAGAAAATTAATATCGTTTTAGATTTTCTTTTGATATTCTAAAGATATAAATGATTAGATTAAAAAGACTGAAATGATTTAAACCTTGAAAGTGCTAAGAAAATTAGATTTATTTTCGAATATCAAGATCTTTAAAAAAAAAAAAAAAAAAATTTTTTTTTTTTTTTTTTTTTTTTTTTCCTCCTTTGTTTAAATAAATTTAGTTGCAGATATTTAATAATTAAGTCAATAAAAAAACCCTCAATTATATGTTGAGGATCTGGACATTTTGCTATGGTTGTTAAATGATAAAAGCACTGATATTTTGAATGGGGAGAAACACTTGTGGAATTGAAATTTTATTTTTCATTCCATTTTAATATTTCAGTTGAAATGAATAACTTTGTTATGAGGTTTACATTTATGGAAAAAGTATTTTTTCTTCTTGCAGAACTAAGAATTAAAAAATACGCAAATAAATATTTTTAAAAATTTGAAGTTTTTTTTTTTTTTCTTTTTATTGTATTTCTACAACACTCATCCTGACCTAGTTGACCAATTAAAAGTGTAGTACCAATTCATTTATACAGCACTCCAGTCTCTAATAACCAAAAAGAATTACACAGCCTGACATTTTTTTTTTTTTAATCTGTTTATACATGCGACATTTCATTTGCCATTTACTGCTATTTCAATTCTGATTTTTGTTACACAAATTGTTTTGAAATAGTAAAATTTACCTCCCAATATTTATGTATAATGTATTGGCAAGTGTGGTTATGTCTTAAAGTAAGTGATTGACTAGTTGAGACACAGTTGGGGTTTTTACTTTTGATTAGTTCTAGTGTACTCTTCCAATACTTCTTGAAAAAAAAAATTTCCAATTTTATGATGACAATTCAAAAGGGAGACAATCTTGGTTATCTTTCTGAGAATTAAGACAAATAGAATTTTAGTATAAAAAGGAAGCACAATTAGAGAAGTTGAAATTTAAATATGTATCCTCAAATATGTTGTTGGGTACAACTAATTTGTTTTAATAAAAATTAGCTGAAAAATTATGTGACAAGCATTCAACAAATGAAACTTGACATGGTGTAAAGAAAATAAATTTTAAAAGTATTTTTTTTATGATTTGGGTGACCATTTTTTGTCTCAATATTTTATATATTTTGTCACTACATTTCAATTGGTCTATTGTCAGGTGTGTTTCAATTTTATTATGCTTTTTACCCATTGAGGTAGGGGGTGACTATATCTTAATGAACATGGACATAAATCATAGACTTTATTAATGTAATCATCACTGATAGAATAAGTAACTATATGATTCAACAAGCAGACTCATTGTTATTTTTATCCTTATTTTTAAACTATGTATTAAGTTTATTGGCATGTGCATTCAAGAAATCTTAAAGATGTGCTCTGTGGCAGGGATTGAACATGCATTCTCTTGTAGGAAAAGCCACTTTACTGCTTGGCTACAGAGATTGTCACTATAAAACAAAGCTCTATTTTTCCTTTAAGGAAAGCACACTTGTTTATTCAGATATTTTTCTTGAAAGCTCATATCTGCTCAGTTTCATATTTGAAATGTAAACATAGCAATTTATTTTTAATTTGACATTTTTTATTACTTCAAAAGTTATTATAGTGTTTGCTCCATTTTTATTCTTATTTTTAAACTCTGTATTATGCCCATTAGCCTGCACATTCAAAAAATCCTAATAAAGAAACCTGCATCCACCTTTTGTACGAGAAAACTCTGATTTGACATGCTTTATTGCTTAGCTACAATCCAGCAAAGCTATATTTTATCTTTTAAGGGAAATCCACTATAATAACAGAAAATAGAGGCTTAGCTGGATTGTATCGCTCTCTGTAGCCAACTGGTAAAACATGCTGAATAAAATAGTGGTTTCGCCTACAAAGGGGGATACAAGTTCAATCACTGCTGGTGTGATATTTATAAATAATAAAATATGTCGCATTTAGTTTATGGCGATTTTCCTAAGTGTAGTTTAGATGCAGTACAAGGCCGAAAGTATGGGGCACCCATTGAGGATCAAATTCGCTATTCAGTCTCTAGTGAGATAAACTTGCTAACCAATACGTCACATTGAAGTGCCCACACATCTGGTTTATGGAGCAAATGTTGATTATTTTTTAACATTTTCTTCGTAACTATTTCTCACCACCTCGTATTACATTATTATATTCACTAGGTAATTGAACTGATTCTTTTTTTTTTTTTTTCTTTTACATTATCACTTAAGAAATTATATCTACTTACACTTGATGAATTCTTCATACGTCAAGAAAAAAAAATTAAGGATGAGAGTAATTCAGTGTATTATAAAATTTATATGAAAAAAATATTTTTAAGGTTATTTTAATAAAAATTGGCATTTTTTTTTGTATAAAATTGGCTGCCTTTTTTTCTTTTTTTTTTTTTTTCAGTTTTTTGTTTAATAGTAAAAGTTCATCAGTGATGTTCCATATGTGATACATGCTTAGGTGATCATGTATCTTTCAATATGTGATTGACAAGGCAGATTTTTTTCCCGCAGTACGTTGCCATTTCTTTCTGCTGTAGACCAGTTGCCATCCAAGGCTATGGAATCCAGTCTGTCCTGCTATTTACCAATAGCTGGAGGAAGAAGAAGAGGATTAATACCTTTCCCAAGGGTATTAGCACATAAATGAATATAATGGATTAGACTGGAATTCGAACTCGGCACTCCAATTCCTCAATCCAAGCTACTATCCATTGCTCCACCATGCCAAAGTTATGTCTTTTAATTGATTAACACAGAAAATGTTTTTGTTGCCTACTATAAATAATTTGTACCTAAATTGAAAATGCATGTAATTGTCATGAGTCCAGTTCATAACAGTGAATTTCATTTGCATCAAAATTGACTTCACCAAAAGTCGAATGGTTCACTTCACTGAAAAATCAAAACGTAGAAAATTAAAGGGAGATAACTTATATCTGAATGTTAACGATTATTGTACTTAGGTTCAGAAAGAGACTGTTCAAAGTTTTGGGACACATAATGAGGCAAAAAAGGTTACAAGATTTGACTCTCACTGGACATATTGAAGGCAAGAGGGATGGAGAGAAACAGCAATGAGCTTATTTAAATGGATGGCAGGATATTGGACTGTGTGAGATAGTAAGGGGATGAACATCGCTTAGAGCTTCAAAAATAAGAAGTTGGGGAGAGCCATGTTGCCCACATCCTGAAAGGATGCAATACATAACAGAAAAAAAAAATAATTTCATTTAAAAATTAAATGATGAGTGTTTACTTATGATACCTTTATTTTTCCATAAATTCATCTCAGAAATCTTTGTATAATGATGTTAGATTTTGAATATTTAAAAATGATGAAAACAAATTTAAATATAATGAACAAAAACAAGAACAATCATCTACATGTAAATAATGTAAATAAAATATAAATGTTGATATAAATAAATGAGAAAGAGTAATATGAATTAATGTCAAAGAATTTGTTTAATATTTAATTTATTTTAAAATCATTTCACCTCAAGTAAGACCATAAAGCCACTAAGACAAGGGTTTATTGAGTGTTAGAGAATATGACAAAAACATGCTATTAAGGAGAGAAGACAATAAAGGAACAACAATTAAGAAGACAGAAGATAATGAGTCATTTAACCCTTAATAATTACTTTCATTTAGCAATTAACAATTGTTTCTTTTTTGCACTTAATCTCTTTTACAAATAACAATTACCTCTCTTTTTAACACTTAATAATTACTTCCCTTTTACTCTTAATAATTATTTCACATTTTACACTTAATCATCCCTCTTTTACAATTAACAATTACATCTATTTTAAAGTTAATTACATTTCATTTTACAATTAATAATTACATTTTTTTACAATTATAATTGCTTCTTGCACAAATAGCAATTACCTCTTTTTTACATTAATTACTTCTCATTC